GGCACCAGGCAGTGGATGAAGTGTAATTGAGACCGTCTGATCATGCTGATCAATGCATCCTAGGATCAAGAGGAGACAGGGTCAGGGTCAGCTGTCTCAGGGTGAGACAGACAGGGGTCCGGACATTCCCCAAACACACATTCAGCCTGGCCTGGCCATCTTTGGGGCCCTATGTCCTACACCAAGAATCTCCTATCCATGGCCTGATTTGTACTCATGAGAAATAAAGGATCTTTATGATGCCCCTTATAACATATGGAGAAACTGGGACAAGGAGAGGGCAAGCAAGTGGCCCCAGGCCACCCAGACTATTAGCCAAAGAGGGGACTAGAGCCTAGGACCTGGTCTGAGGACTTTTCCAGTGCAACACCCTGTGAGTTGTTTTCTAAAACCCATCCTTCCCATGTCCCATCCTTCTGAGCTCAACTGACCACTGACCAATCCAGGTGTTCTCACTTGTTACAGGCAATCTATTTACAGCCAGTGCTGGGTCCTTAGCCTTCCCCTAAGGAGAGCCTAAAGGTGAACACACAGGCCTGCAAGACATGAGGGAGGCAGGCAGCACTGGTCTGACTGTGAAACTTGTCACCTCCATCAAGAGGGCAACTGTGGTTCTTATCAACTTTCTGAAGCTGCTCAAGTTAAATCAAGAAGCTGAGGCTTTGGCCTTAGAGTTGGATGGATCACATTCCTCCAAGCTTCTTTGAGGCCCTGAGCCTCAGTTTCTTCCTCAGTGGAGTGTAGGGGGTACCTGCCCCTTCTGGCTCCCTGGGGAGCTCGGAGATGATGTGGATGGATAACCCATCCCAGAGGAAGGCAGTGAGCTCTGGACTCCATGGGGACAGGGCATCTACTCACCATCTGGAGCTTGATCTGGCAGCACGGGGCTTTCCTCTTCACCGCTGCAAAGCTGCTAGCAAATGTCCTTCTCACCATGCAGCTCCTCTGCTGGGCCTGCTGGGAGGTGCCCTCTAGGCCGGCCACAGCCCGGCACACAGAGGACAGCTTGGCCCGGGACTGGAACAGATCCCTCAGCTCCTCCCTGGCAGGTAGAAGAAAGAGAGAGGGGTTTTAAGGGACTCACAAGGTGGAGGGAATGGGTCCCCCAAGCCTCCTGCAAATCTGCTTCCTAAACCCCTATCTCCCTCGAATCACATCCCAGGTGCCCACTCCTCTGTCCACAGTCCCTTCTGCAAAGATGAGCCTTCACTTGGTGACAAATGCCAGCCCCTTCCTTCACACCTCTCTTCCCTCCCCTGACCTCAAAGCATCTTTTCTTCTACTGGATACTCCTGTCACTTATGTACCTGCAGGAATTCTACCAAGCCTGCCCTCTCTTAGCGGGCAAAATCATCTTGGTTATCCCTAGACCAGGTCCAGTACACAGCAGGTGCTCATTCTGTTCCGTGCAAGAATGAACAATGGACAGGTCAGACAGACAGCTGGAGCACCAGGAAGATCCAATAGCGCCCTAGGATGAAGCTGGGACCCAGAGAAGGCCTTGCGCCTCTCCAGTCGCACCAGCCCCATCCCATCCAGGGGAAGGTGTCTTCCATTGCTGCCTACGAGTCCAGGCACTACCCTGGACTTGGCCCTCAAGGCACGTTATCCATCTGCCTCTATGACTAACCCTACAATCCAGACTATTAAAGAAATGAGTCTTTCCCAGATGCACCAAAGGCATTTAAAGTGGTTAAATGCATGGCAGGGCATACTGACTAATAATGGCTTGAATATACTCACGTTGAAATAAAAATCTGGGGAGGGGGCTGGGGGAGCCCTCAGGAGCTCTGAGAGGGAAGAATGTGTGCACCACTCCCTGGTCCAGGGAGACGAGGCTGTGCCCACAGCCTTGAGCCCTGCGTGAGGATTGCCCCATCTGCGGTTGGGAGACCTGACCTCCAGTCTGAAATTTACTGTGTGGCCTTCAGCAGTCACATATCCTCTTTAGCAATCCACTCCCTACATATAAAGCAAAAGTTTTATTGGGCAGAAGTCCTCCCCAGCGAGACTACCAGGAACCAGAATGCTACACGAGCAGTCCTGGTGAATCGGGAATCCTGGCTGCAGAACCGAATGCTGAGAAAAACCACTGTTCGCTCTCAAAATCACCCACGCTTAGCTCTCCAGCCTGCAAGACATCCTGTAGGGATTTACCTCCAGACCAGCTGCACTCTTTCACCCCTGTGCACACGCTGCTCCTTCTTCCCAGAATGTCCCCTGCTCACCAGGCCATCTGATCAACCCAGGTTTGCCTGCCTTTCCCTAACCTTACACCCCTCACCCAGCCTGAGCCACGGGACCTGAGAACAGAAGGGGAATTTACAAGACCACAAGACGTGTGCTAAAGGCCGGCTATGAACCAGGCTCCTTAATAAGCCATCCACTACATTACATCACCAAAGACTGACATCACACAGGTAAGCTTGGCAGTCTCATCCCCTCTTCTCAGGTTGTGAAACTGAGGCCCAGGTCATGCAGCTTGAAAAAGGCAAAAGCAGAATACAAACAATCGCCTGATTCCAGGGCTGTGCGCTATGGCCTCATCCAACAAACCTCATGTTAAGGTAGATGAAGCAAGAAGCCCAGAGGAGGGAAAGTGCCCGCCCACAGTCACCCAGGCAACAAGGGACTTGACTCAGGTCCCCTGGCTCCCCACACTGTGCTCTTAACCTTCCTTCCGCCCCATCCCCCGACTTGCTCTCTCTTTAGGAGCTGTGTGCCCTTGAGAGCATCTGGATACAGGGTTCCCAATCAGCTCTGACCATGATGCCCTGAGAATGTCTCCAAGGATCACTTAGACCCAAACTGTACCCTAACCCTGCTACTGCTTTTTTATTCCCACTATGTGATCACTGGTGAACCACTTTACCTCCCAGGGCCTCAGTTTCCTTGTCGGTTAAATAGGTCTAAGGACACAGTGTTATTGTGAGGATTTAAAAGATGCTTATAAAACGTTTACCTTGATGCCAGGTACGTAACAGGTGGTCAGTAGATGTTGTGGTCTTAGCCACACACACCCAACAACCATTTCCCAATAGCTCTCTGAATTGAAAGCAGTGATCACTGCCAGCCCTCTACCAGCACTTCTGAGACGAGCAGTCAAAAACACGCAGTGAGCCATTTTTTAATGCTGCAAAATGTTATCACTTCTGTTTTACGACCCCCTAGTTCGAGGATGTCCATATAAGTCCCTTGAGTCACATCATCTCTCAGTCACTTAATGAAAAGCCAGAAGCTAAAATACAAAGCCACAGCTTTCCAACTTTTGTTCCACCTCCTCAGAAGGCCGGCTTTTCTCTGCGGCTGGCCCCAGAGAGACACTGTACACGACTATTCGAGTTCTTTGTGTCGTTAGGGAGGGGTTCCTGCACCGGCACTCCCTCACTGGTGGTTGTGACTTCATGGCCCTAGCACCTTGAGTGCACCCGGCCCATCCCAGCCCTGGCCGGGCTCACCTTCTGGACTGCTGTAGCACCTGGTGGGCGTCCAGGGCCGACAGGTTGGGCTTGGCCCTGTGGAGCCAGCCCGTGAGGTCGTAGCGCACGGGGTCACGTCCCAGCTGATGGGCAATCTCGCACTGGAGAGGCTGCTCGCAGGTCCGAAGGGCAGAGGTCCCTGAAAGCAGACATGGGGTGTGAGTGTGGGGCCTGGCAGGGACATTCTGTCATCTCTCGGCATCCCCGAGAACATGCTCTTTCTGTTTTAATGTTTCCAGACAGCTGAAGCCAGCACTTCTGGGCACCCACACTCCTCCTGCTTCAGGCATTTATGTGCTCTACCACCAACATGGGCTCTATTCCTCATTGCTTTCTTAAATCCAGGACACCTGTCAGCACTGCATGCACCCTTCGTGATTTCTGCCACAGCCGTGTATCACCTGGATGTTAGTTACTTAACGTTTTCTTTCAACAGACTCCCATTTTTACAGGTAAATCCATTTATGCAGAATCATACTGCAGGTTTGGTGTGGCAGCTATATTTATTTCCTAATACTCATGGAAATAAGTACACAGTTATTAAATATTTTTAAAACATGTATTGAATACCAGCTACCAAATAAACACACGGCGTATTCTTGGGAGATGCTGGTGGACACTTGGTTCCAAAAGACAGAGCGGGAGAAACAGATGGGCTTGGAGTCAGAGAAGACCTGGTTCAAATCCTGACTTGACCACTTACTACTGTGGGGACAGGGGCCAACCACTAACATCTCTGAGCCTCGTCTCCTCGTCTGTAGATTATGGATTAAATAATAAAGTTCCCCCAGGGCGACACAAGGTGTGAAGGAGATGATGAGTCCAACGTCTCTTGGTACAGAGCCACAGCGGTCACTTGGTCAGCAGTGGTGGGTGTCTGCCGCTTCCTGCATTTAACCTTTTGCTGATGTCCTGGGATCACAAAGGCTTTCCCTCCATATCCCCAGGGCCCAGCATCACGGCTGGCACATGAGTGGAGTCCAGAAGTGCTTGTGGAGTGAATAGCTGGATGGATGGGTTCCTGACCATTCCTCCTATCACTCTAATTGTAGTGATGCTCTCAGGCTGAGTGATGGCTCCAGACCAATTACCATCAGGAGCTGTAGTATTGTTTGTTTCTGCATCCACTCTGAATGATTTTTCTACACTTTCCCATCCTGCTTTCGTCAATGGACCAACACATATTAGGATCAAGATTCCCTCCCTTAATTGGCTACCTCTCCACTGCAGTGAGCTCAACAATGAAGAACCTGCAGTCCTTGGAATGCTGCACAAAATATATGCAGTCCGAGAGCCTGCAGGTTCCAATGAGGAAGGGGCATGGATTCTGCCACCTGTTTGGCTGGCTGGAAATCCTCTGTGCTTACCTCCTGGATCTCCTCCATGTTCTGGGTAACTGCAGTTACCAGAAGGGCACTCTTCTGGGTAAGTGAAGTATCACTATACCTACTGCGTCCCACAGGCCCTTCGGAGCCATGCAGTCCCTGCCCTTCCACTGAGAGACGAGCAAGGCAAGAGAGCAGACACACGGCCCTGGCACAGACTGCGATGCCCCTGCAACGCTGCAAGAGTCTGTCTGCGAGGCTGCCTCCCTGCACTGGCGGGGACTGTGCCCACTGACTGGTATGTCCAGCAGCTACACAGAGCTGGCTCTGGATGAAGACCCCAGGAGCACTCGGGGAGAAGCCCAAGGCAAAAGAGAAGAAAGGGTGTTCACAGCTGCTAAGCCGGGATCAGCCTCTGTCATTCAGCCCTCACTCTGGTCTGTGATGTGAGCATCACTAGCTGGTTTCTTGAGAGTGACACTGAGGTCTGGAAAGATGGGACGGCTTACCTAAAGTTGCCCAGCACATAGAGACAGAGCCAGGATGAGGACCCAGATCTGTCGGCTCCAGATTTGCCTCTATGCCAGGTGGTGGCCCAGTGTACAATGGTGCCACAATTCCCAGGAACCGTCCTAGAAAACAGCTCCTGGGTTATAAGTCTGCTCCGTCCTCTCATTCTCCCCTCTCTCCCGGGGATGGTTCTGCACCATAGTTTTGTTCACTCAAGCATTTCACGGGCAGCTTTTGCCTTTGGGAGCCCTTTGAAATTGTCTGTAAGAGGGAGCCTCACCTAGCACGTTTCTGTCCAGGCTTCAGCGCCATTACCTCCCCCAGGAACCTGCCCACCCCAGACTGGGGTAGGGGCTTCTCCGCACCCCTCTGCCCCCAACAGTTACCCTCTATCGCTGCACTGCAAATGCCTGTCACCTGACTGTCCACTGGGCCTGAGCTCTAGGAGGGCTGCCCCAGCCCCCTGCTGGGCCCACACTCAGCCAATGCACCTTAGGTGAGAGGTAAGAGAGTGTGCGCTGGGTTCACCAGAAAGCCCTCTGTGTTCTGCTTGACTGAACGTTCTCATTAACTCAGAGCTAATCAGAAAGCCCTAGAGGCAAAAGGGTTTTTTTTAATACCAAAGTGTCTGAGTTAGGGTGTCTACCTCAGTGGGTCTGGGACAAGGGATGTAACAGAATCCCTCCCCTGGGAAGAGAGCCTGGCAGCATCCTGCTCGGGTATTCAGGACTGGCACTGGCAGGCCTCACAGGAAAGAGAGGAGAGGTCGTCTGGCCGTCTTCCTATCGTGTCTCCAGCCTGCAGTCTGGGTAAGCTTTCTAGAACATGAATCTGACCACACCTTCTGCTGCTGAGATCCTGCCTGGCTCCTCACTGCTCCAGGGTTAAGACCAATGCTTTCTGCGAGGCCTGAGCCCAGACAACATCTCCTACCTTGTCGGGCACCGTGCTCCCTGTTCTCGTCAGGTTTACCTGCATGCCTCTCCCCAAGAGCCCCGGGCTCCCAGAGAAATGAGGTCTGCCTGACGCCCACCACTGAGCGCTGCAGTCTGTCACTGCAGGCTCACCGGACACACAGAGGCTCATGTGTTAGCTGGTCCATCGCCCCCACAAGCAAGAACACAGGCACATCAGGCTGTTCACTGCTGAAAAGGATGGTACCCAGCGAACAGTAGGTGCTCAGTACACTTGTCAGATACATGAATGAACACAGACATGAACAAAAGAACATACCAGCATACACAGACGTTCCTGCACTCAGACCCCCGCCCCATCCCACTGTGCAGGCCTTGTCAGGGCTTTGACAAAGACAGATTCCAACTCCCAGGCTGGACTTGGCACCACCCCCCATCGCCCCCTCACCTTCGGCTCCTGCTTCTTTCTTCTCAAAGGCCGCCCGGAGGCGCTCGAGCACCACGCCGTCACTGGAGCCCTCCACCCGGACCTCCTCATCTAGGACCCAGAAAAGGCCCCTGGCGTCCTCAGCACCTCCTCCAGCCAGTAAGCGGACCTGGAGAGACCCACGACACACTGAGGGGTCCTGATCCCCTGACATAGGCCAGTCCTGGGTTTCTCTTCCCACCTATGGGGGTCAGGGATGTGTGTCCCAGACACCATGACTCAGACATGCTGGCCTGGATCCACACTCCAGCTCACCCCTAGACTCTCAGTGTTCAAGCCACAAAACTAACAATCTCTTGATTCCAAGAGGTCTGGATGCCATCTCTGTCTTCCTTTCCTGTGTGACCTTGGGCAACTTACTGCACCTCTCTAAGCCTCATTTTTCCTCTTATGCAAAATGGAGACTGGCACTACCTTCCTCTGAGGGCTGTCGTGAGCATTTAAAAAGGGCAAGCACTTTGTAAACTACACATTTCTGGATCCACACAGGCAGCTGGTCTTTATTTATACACAGCCAAACCAGAAAGGATTAATTCCATCCACATCACTTCCTCATAGAAGTCTTTGTATGCTTTTAAACTAAAATCTTGAGGAGGGGAAAAAGTGCCCAAAGAATGTTTTAGAGAAGGTGAACTTGGGTCAGTGGCACAGACATGGAATTTTCATCTGGCACCAGCATCAGAGACCCTCCAGGCAACCCCACAGTTTTGTATACGGGAAACAGAGAGGCCCAGGTGTCTGCAGGGCCCACGATGAGCTGACACAACTGAAAATGGTGCCAAGTGGTTAAGGAAGAAATGTGATGTGTATGGTGACCAACTGTTCCAGCGTGCCCGCGACAAGGGGCTTCCCAGGACATGAGGATTTCAGTGCCAAAGCAGGCAGACTCCCCAGCAAACCAGGACAGTTGGTCACCCTAATTCAGGAATATTAGCCCACACCCCACTGAGAGGGTCCAGAGAGGGGAAGGGACACATCCAGGGTCACATGGAGAGGTACAGGGGCAGCAGGGGACCTGGACCCCAGGTATCCTGAGTCTTCACCTTGGTCTTATTTACTGGGGTTGAAATCCACAGTTAGCCCATCCTGAAAAGGTAGCCATTTCTGGCCACTGCCCAGGGGTCCTGGGGACACCATGGTCCTCCTCGCACTGCCTGGGTCGTCCCTTCAGGCCTGCCCCACCCAGGTGGGGAAGCACGACAGGCCCAGGGAACCAGCCTGGGAGGTGGCAGCAAGAAGCAGGAGCAGGTGAGTGGCCAGCAGGACTCACGGACAAGGGAGCTTTGCAAGAGCGGGTGCAGCCCCCTGTGAGCCAAGAGAAGCCTTGGACCCTAAGCCTGGCTGACCACAGACCAGGGAAGAGACGGAGGTGTGAAAACGCAGGAGAAACGTGACCTGCAGGACATCTATTGTGTACCGAGCACCCTGCAGGTGCTCTACATGCCAGACCTCACAGATGTGCACAACACCCCAAGGATGCTACTGCTCCCATTCTGCTGATGAGAACACTGAAGCTTGGAGAGGTGAAGTGGCATGCACAAGGTCACTGAGATTGGACTGGAGCCAGGCACGATCCACAGCCCAAGCATTTTCACACTAAGATGTGAAGGGGGAAACGAAAGTCCAGTGAAACAGTCCAGGACAGTTCTGTGGGAGGGTCGAGCACAGAGGCAAATCTGGGGTCAGCAAAGTGGGTTCTAGGGATGGGGAAAGTAAGGTAAAGACTTGGAATCCCCCAAACTAAAGCTTACCTGTCTCCAAGGAAGGTCAGGGGGCCTGGCCCCAGCCCTGTCCCCATTCTCCATTCCTCCCCCTGGGCTCCTACTGTCCCAGTCTCTGCTGGGCACAGCACCTTCGTCTGAACACCTGATTCTTCCAGGTGAGAGTGGCTGGAGGCAACCAGGCACTGGCCCTGAACACCCCTTGCCTCATACCACAGGCTCCCAGGCCAGAGAGCATTCTCAGAAGCAGACTCAGAAGTAAAGAGGAGCAGGTATGCTTAGCTCAAGGGGATTTAAATATTCATTGTCTAGGCCACACCCCCAGATCACCAAAGTAGAATCTGGGCGTGGGTCCCAGGCATCTGTGTCTTTAACAATCCCTGGGTACTTCCAGGTTCAGAGAGCATTGAGATCTTGTAGCTCAAAGGCTCAAATCTGCTAGCATTTAAGTGAAAAGGCCGTGTGGCATCTGAGAGGCTTGGTTTCCTGGGCCCCGTGTTACCTGTGAGGGACTCTGATCCACAAGGTCCACTGTCGCCCCTGGTGATGGCTCCGGGAGATCAAATGACATAGGAACGTTCTCCTAGAAAGTCATAGAAGTTCAATGTTAGTTCCTTCCATGAGTTGATGAGAAGGAAACTTCTGGAGGAGGAAAGAGAAGTGAAATGAATGTACCATTTTAATCATCTTTCAGTGTCCAGCACACTGGGGTAAAGTACACTCACATTGTCATGTAACCATCACCACCATCCATCTCCAAAACTTCTTTCATCTTGCAAAACTGACACTGCACCCATTAAACACTAACTCCCCAGTTTCCCTCCCCACTTCTGTCTCTACGAATTTGACTACTCTAAGCATCTCATATGAGTGGAGTCACACAGCATTAGTCCTTTTGTGACTAACTAATTGCACTTAGCATAATAGTCTCGAGGTTCATCCATGTCATAGCATGTGTCAGAATTTCCTTCTTTTTTTCTGGTTGAATCATAGCTCTCTGTATGAATATATCACATTTGTTTATCCATTCATCCACTGATGGACACTTGGGTTGCTTCCACCTTTTTGCTATTGTTAATAATACAGCTATGAATGTTGAGTGTACAAATATTTCTCCAACACTCTGTTTTCAATTCTTTGAGGTAGCTACCCAGAACTGGAAATGCCGGATCAAATGGTAGTTTTACTTTTGACTTTTAGAGAAAATATCATACTGTTTTCCACAGCGGTTGTACCCTCCATATTCCCAGCAGTGCACAAGGGTTCCAATTTCTTTACATCCTCCCAACACTTGTTACTTGTTGTTTTTTCAGTCTAGTAGGCGTGAAATGCTATCTCAATGTGGTTTTCATTTGTATCTCCCCAAACTAGTGATGCTGGACATCTTTTCATGTGTTTATTGGCCATTAGTATATCTTTTAGAGAAATATCTATTAAACTCCTTTATCCATTTTTAATCGGGATCTTTGTTTATTTGTTGCTATCATCACCCCTTAGCCTTTGTATGAGAAGAAAGGCAGTAGACCAGCATCCTAATACTGCTCATCCCATGGCCCTGTCAGCAATTATGGTGAGAGCTTTGTCAGGAACTGACAATTCAGTCCAAACTTTTCTAATATTTACTGAGAACCTCACAAGTCCTGGACTGGGCACTGGGGGCTGGAGGGAGCAAATATAGCTATGGATAGTAACAGTTGCCATAGAAAAGTAATCAGAAGTGTCCGGATAATGCTGTGCTCAGAGATGTTCATCACAGTGTTGTTTATAACAGCGTAAGTGTGGAAATCACCCAGATGTCCACAGGAGAGCCGAGACAGAATCAGGCATAATCAGCGAAATGCATCATTACTAAGTGGAGGATATGAATAACATAATGCTATGAGGAAAAAGCAGACAATAAAATCGTACATACATGTGGATTGCAAACCTGCAGAGAAGACAATATATGGGAAAGTGACTGGTATTAAACACAGACAGTGTGTAACTGTGGCTCCCTCCACGGGGTGGGGCTGAAGAAGATTGTGTTTTCTGCTTCTTGACACTTCTGTGCACTTTCGTTTTTAAATGGAGAACATGTTTTTACTCTGGTCATCAGAAATAAGTGAAGTGTTACGGGAAAAATATGATAGCTGCTACTATATATGGAATGCCTAATACAGATTAGGCATTTTGAACCCACTTCATCAAATGCTCAAAATAGCGCCTTTAGACAGCATAGTAAAAATGATTATAAAAATAACCCCCCCAATCCCTCCTCTTCCCTGTATCCAGGCTCTTCGCACAGGTCTGGCAGTTTCTCCCATCGAGAAGTGGACACCAGTTCCCCACCCCTTCACCTGCTGTGTCAGGGCTCAGCCCTGGACTTGCTACAACCAGCTGGAATCAGCAGAAGTGACTCTGCCAGTTCCAAGTCGAGGTCCCAAGGAGCCCTGTACACTTCTCGCTCTCTTGGAACTCTGCCCAGCGCCATGAGAACAGCCTAAGCTAACCTGCTGGAGGAGAGGACATTCCTGGAGCACGATGAGTCATCCTAGCCAAGGATCTGCCTGGGTCAGCTCATGGCCAGCTGTCCCCAAGACACACAGGGGAGCCAGCCAAGACCAACAGCCACCTACCCAGACTGCCTGTGACCACAGACACAAGCACTCTCCCAGCCAAGGCCAGAAGAGCTACTCAGGCAACCCAGAGACCTGTGAGCAATAACAAAAGATTACGTTTTAAGCCACTACGTTTTGGGCTAGTCTATTATGCAGTATTATTGCAGCGAATGGTAACTGATACAGCAACACTGCTATTTCTATTTCACATTTGAAGAAACTGAGGATCAGAGAGGGTGAGTAATTCTTCTAAGTCCACATAGCCAATAAGTGACAGAGTTAGAGTCAGATCCCAGGTCTCATCAACGTCATTTGTTTAAGATTTATCCATGTCGATGTTTTCATGTTATTGCTGGGTGGGCTCCAACCAAAGAAATGATGAGAATTTCAATAACCTTTATCCAACCGGTAAACAATATGGTCATTTCTCCTATTTTGCCCAGCACTTGCTGGAGCCAAAGGGGTCCCCTTTGGGGAGGAAGGAGGGAGAAGCGAGGGGGGCATCTGGGGTGCTGGCAATGTCCTCCTTTCCCCTGGGTGGTGGCTGCACAAGTGTGCTCAGCTGGACTAGTTCACTGAGCTGCACACTTCTGGTTCAGGCACTTGTAGGTGTGAATGTTACAGTTCAACCGAAACACTGTTTAAGCTGTACCTAAGGCAGGGCAGGCAGGAATGTGCCTGTTCCTGTGTGCTGGCTCACACTCACACACACATGGAGTTGCCTGGGTGCCACCTAGAAGGGGAGCTGCATCTCCAGCTTCGCTAGGTATTCCCACATCATGATCCAAAGGGTGTGCAAACCCACGATTTCCACCTAGCACAGGGTGTGAACGACTTTCCGTGGGGAAGATGCAAACCGCTTGAGGAGGATTCAGCTTGGATGAAGTGGGAGAAGGAACAGTCACCCCAAACAAGGGGCAGCTGTAAGAGTAAGGCCTGGGGAGTCCCACGTTCTGGATCGTAAGGCACAGGGGCCGTGGGTGGAGACTGGGCTACATGAGAGATGGGAGCAGCAGAAGCCTGGGGAGCCAGGCCTGGAGTTAGGGTTTTACTCACTGGTGGACCAGACAAGATGAAGCCAAAACCTACTGGAGGAACGGATGCCCCTCCCTGTCCACCCTCACACCTTCTGCTGAGCCCTGGCAAAGGCCCCGCTCCAGCCTGGCCATACCTCCCGGAATCGCTCCAGCGTTGAGACAAAGGTCCGCTGGTAGAAAAGCAGCTGCAAGCGCTCGTGGATGTAATTGTGGCACAGCTCCTCGAAGCTGGCGGCCCTGTCTTTGCCCTGGTGCCGGGGGTTTTGAAAGCCTGGAGAGTCCACCACCATGATGGAGGCCATGGAGAGGTGCTGGGAGGAGAAGGATCTGGGGAGAAAGGAGAGAGCCCCTCAGAGGACATGGAATCTCAGAGCCCCGCTGGTCTAAGCCTCCCCCTTCCCCATCACAGAGACAGAGAAACAGGCCGTACGCTGGGCAGATCTGGGGATCCGGCAAATCTCACCACTTAAAAGCTGTGCGACTTTGGGAAAGTTATTTAACCTCTCTGAGCATGGGCTCCCCCAACTGTTAAAAGGTAATAGGGATGAGTAGGATGATCCCAAGAGCTGCGGTAAGAAGAGAAGGAGTTAAAGTATGAAAAGTGCCTCCCAAGGTTTCTGCAGGCCTTCAGTAAACCTGTTCTCTCTCCCAAGCCCAGAGTGGAGAAATGACTTGCAAACCAGCTGTAAAGTTACAACAAGAGCCTCCTTTTCTTTCTTAGTGACACACTGCAATACAAAAACCATTCTGTTCAGTTCCTCAGTTTACCAAATTCCCTCAAGACATCACCTCCTTGAATCCTCTTGACAAATCTATCAGAGCAGACGAGAAGGGATGATTCCACATCAAAATTCAGGAGTTAAGAGACCCTGGAGAGAGTCACATGTGGGCTCCAATCCTCGCTCAGCCACAGAAGGGCTGTGTGCCTCTGGAGAGTGGCCTGACCTCTCTGAACGTCAGCCATGAAAGGGTTAATGATGTAGCTGAACTCAGAAGGCCACAGGAAGGGTCAGATGTGATAAAACACCCACTGCTCTGAATGCGAAAGTGTTTTCTATTATTATTGGCAGGACCAGCTCTATATTCTGCAGGGCCCTCTTCACCATTATTTGCCGACGTTTTCCATCTGTCCAATGAGATGGCCCCCCCACAGACGCATGTGCAAGTTAAGATGTTCAGAAAGCCAGGTGCCTGCTCGGTGCTTGTAAAGGTGGCAGGCAGCATTACCATGAGCATGCCCACTTTATGGATGCGGGCTCCGAGAACCCATCACCCAGCAGCTCCCTCCACCGGCGGGTTGCAAGCCACCCCAATAAATGCTTCTTCCTGAGCACGCGTGGTCCCCTTAGTTTCTAGAGAATTTGTCTGTGGTCTCAGAGGGTAATCACTCCAGCAGTGAGAGAGGGAGCTGATTCCGCACCTGCAGAGAACCCCAGCCACGCTGCTGCTACACACTGGCCTCACCCCTTACGGGGTGTCAGAGGCCTAATTACGCGTCCTGCTTTCAGGGAGGAGGGATACGAGCCCTTGCCTGGGCTCTGGGTCAGCCCCACTGGGACAGCCTGAAGACTCCTAGGGGCTCATAGCACCACGCATCATGACAGAAGACAGAGGCTTCCGGCACCTGTGGTGTTTTATGATCACGATTAGGAAGAGTTGTATACGTACATTATTTCTTTTTCATTTACTTCTTACTGACTTCTTTTAATCCTTGCAATGACCCTGGGGGACAGAGCTAGCTTACAGATGCAGAAAAGGGGGTCAGAGAGGTGAACTGATTTACCAAAGTCACACAGCCCATGGGCAGCCGAGGTGGAATGTAAACTCAGCAAAACTCAGAAACTCCCTGGTTCAAAAACTCCCTCTCCAGCTCAACAAAACCCTACTCTGCTCAACCCCTCATGGTTGGGGCTCATTCATGCACCTGAAAAGAGGCCGACTTTGTACCTGAAAAAAAGCTGCCATTACCTGTTGATGAGAGAGACCACAGCGGCAAAGACCTCTTGGTACAGGCCTGCGGCCATGCCCTCCACACACTCCGCACCCGTCATCTTGAGCCCTGCGGTGGGGAAGAGAGCAGGGTTTGCATCCCGTGGTCAGGACCTCACCTGGCACCAAGGACGTCACTCCAGAGGCATCACTACTGGCCTAAGAGGATCTCCCCACTGCTGAAAGTACATACCTATGTTCTTAGGACCAAGTTCAAGTGTCCCATCAGGTCCTCCAGGGTCCTGCATAACTAGGCCCTACCTCCTCTCCACCATGCTCTCCTGCTCATTCATCAGCGCTTAACCCACCATCACCTCCTCAGGGAAGACTGCCTTGACAAACACCACCACCTCTACTAGGCCAACTCCCAGCTCTATCTTGCTTTTTAAAAAAATTTATTTTTCAAATTGAAGTATGATTGACATACCAAAAAACTGGTACATTTTTAATGCATACATCCTGATGAGTCTGAAGCATACACCCATGACACCATCACCATAAACATGCCAGTAACACAACCATCACCTGTAAAAGTTTCTTCGCTCCCTCTCTGTGCGTGTGGGTGATAGGAACTTCCAAGTAAGGTTAACAAATTTTTAAGCATAGAACACGGTACTGAGAACCACAGGGACTCTGCTGTATAGTAGAGACATCCATCTGCTGACTGTCTTCTTCACCCACCGCTAGGATTTATTCATCATGCATAAATGAAACCATGTCCCATCTCCCCTCCCTCAACTCCCCTAGTAACCACCATTCTACTCTCTGCCTCTATCGGTTTTGACTATTTTAGATTTCTGATCTAAGTAGTGTATTACTCAAAGGTAAAGGAAGAAGGAAATTTCCTGACATTCTCTACAACATGGATGAACTTGCAGGATATTATGCTAAGTGAAGTAAACCAGACACAGAAGGACAAATCTACCCTGATTTCACAGCGCTGACCACAGCACATTTTTACTTAGTGGTTAACCTGCGTCTCCACCCCTTTCCTCAGGCAGGAAGCGCCCTGAGGATGGGGACTGGCTCTGAGTTTCTTGGCTTCAAATCCCCAATTCCTGACACATAGTAGTTGCTCAGTAAATATTTGTAATTCCCTCTTTCTGAAGGGAAATTTGGCAATTTTATAGCAGAAGCCTTAAAATGTTTATATACTTGGACTTAATAACTTCACTCTTAGGATTTTATCCTAATGAAATACTCAGAGAAGCAAAGATCTCTGGGTACATATGCTCTCCCAACAGTTGATTAAATTGGCAAAAAACACTTTTTCAAACCAACTTGAACATCCAACAATAGCAAATGCGTTACATAATTTGTAGTCCATCTGTACAAAAGAATGCTTAAAGTCAGGCCTAGAAGAATAGTGAATAAGATGGAAAAGTACCTACCTATGGTGTTAGGAGAAATAAAAAAGCTTAGGAAACTATTAATAATTGGGGTCTTAACTTTGTATAAATACACACACTCATCTCTAGAACTGCCAGCTTTGATTAGGGGGCACTGAGCAAAGTGGGGAAGGAGTGGGGGACTCAGACTACAAATACTGACCCTTAGGCTTTGGTTCCATCCACAGAATTAGAAACACAATTTCCAAATCTGCACGCACTAGTGCCTGAAGAAACAGTTCTACTTGCATATTCCAGGCAGCCCGCTGCAGCCCCAAAGCATTTCCCATCCATGCTTTAATTCCACCTCAACCTGCATTGTTGCTAGGCAACCCACAGCCTCCTAACATCTCTCCTAAGCCTGCCGGTCCCCTGCCTGCTTAACACCAACCCTTGAGACCTCAGCCTGGGAGACTGACTCAGCTTCACAAAGCGGTGTGTGGACGTACGTGTGCTTGTGTGTACATGTGTGTGCTGTATGCTTGTGTGTGCTGGGTGCATGTGATGCTGCACATGCATGTGTGTACACACCTGTGCGTGAGCCCGTACGTGTGTGCCTGTGTCCAAGAAGAGGCGTAACCATTAAGCAGACCACAACTTACACCAGAGCACAGCCCTGGAAGCCAGCAAGTCCCAGTGACATCAGCCATCAAGCTGAAGTCCCTGGAAGGTGGAGCAGCTGGGGGGATCCAAGGGCCTCTAAGTGATAGACCCCAAGCCATACCTCAAAACAGTGTTACCCACAAGCCCATTTAGAAGAGCTCCACTTAGAGAGTTCTCAGAGACCCCAGGGCTCTAAAAGGCCCCTCTGCCCTTACTTTCTGCAGCCACAACATGTGGCCACAGGGGCTGCAGACTGGGGATCCAGCAGGCCCCACTCGAGCAGGTGCAGGACAAAGCTTTTCCCCCACATCATGTCAGAGCACCCCCATTCCTTCCTCCAGCTGCTCAGGCCAAAATCACAGAAGCCGTCCCAGCCCCTCACTTTCCCTGAGGGTCCATGCCATCATTTCTATTTAAACAGACTGAACTGGTCCCCCTAGTTTCATCCCTTGTCCAACCACCATCACCTCACCAGGGTGACTGTTACAGGGTCTCACCCGGGGATTCCCCAACCTTCCTCTGGGCTGAGCTTCATGAAGAATAAACCAAATCATGTCACTGCCCCCTGCCTCTCCAGGGCTTTGATCAGTCTGAGAATTAAAACCCTGATTTACAGACTATTATATGAGCTGAGCCCACCAAGCTTGCCACCCTCATCTACCATTCTTCTATCCAATCCAACCATCCTGGCCTTACTTCTGTTCTTCAAACTGGAGGGTCAGTCTTCCACTTCCAGAGCAAGGGCTCAAAAAATACAGTACCCAATGAAAATGCACTGGTCCCTGGACACTGGCCACACTGTCCCCTCTTGGTAGCACAGGGCCCCCTCCCAGGTTTCAGCAGCTGGACAAAGACAACTATTTGACCATGTGCACCATGTAGGCAGGAACCACGGCCATTTCCAGGGAAGTGGCTTCCCCCTGTACCTAGAAGGTCCACATGTAGTAGACCCTCAGTAAGTCCTCGACGGAGAGGGGCAAGGATGCTGTTATGTCCCTGGGGGTGGCCCAGCAGGGTCCCAACCCACCCAGACAGGCAGCAGTGCGGTACCTGAGCTGGTATCCTCGTCGTCTGGGCTCCGTCGGCTCGGCCCAGATGTCACTTGCTCAATGATCTGCCGCAGGTGGTGCTTGAAGGTGGCCGTGTTCAGCTCCTCATAGTCACAGCCCAGGGCCTCTGCTGCGTGGTTTGCCCACTCAAAGTGCATGAACTGCTTCCGGCCCACTGTGTGAGGGACGAAGCAGAAGGAGGGTGGTGAGGTCTTGGGAGTGTCCCAGGTAGGCATCCAGAAAAACCTCAGAGAGTCTCACCACCTCCCACTCTCCAGGCCACCGACCTTCAGTAGAAGCCTGAACAGCTGCCTGGGCCTGGGCCACAGGAGACAGCTTCCTGAGACACATATCTGTCCTATTTCCTTGCCATCTGCATTGTTTACTTTTCCAAGCAATTAAGGATATTGTGGGGAGCACTCTGAACATGGGATCGAGGAAGAATGAACAAAAGTGTGACTTTCCACCCATCCATCCACTACCCTGCATCCACCTACCTGTCCACTCAACTATTTGACATTCAACTACCCTCCCATTCATTCAGTGCATGTTCTTGGAGTTACTACTATGGGACCAGCACCGTCTCAGCCTCTGGGAAACGGATGACAAGCAGGACAGACAAGGTGCCTGTCCTCACAGAGCAGTCTGTGACAGGGAGGCAACAAATAAGTCTTTGAGAGAAGGAGACAATAAATAAGGACGCAAATAAATTATTTCAGGTGATGAAATTATAGTTATTTTTTTCCCCTCTAAGAAGAAAGTCAAACAGGATGACAGATTAAGAGAAACTGCAGGAATGACTACAGAAGTGTCATTCTGTGGCTCAATCCGAAGATGCTATATGAAAACCGGGGTATGAAAGGTGAGAAGGAGCTGCCACATCAAGAACCAGGGAAGAGCTTTAGAGGAAGGAGGAGGCAGCAGTGCAAAGGCCCTGAGGCAGGAATGAGCATCCTCTGTTAGGGAAGTGCCAAGAAGGCCAGCGTGGCTGGGATGTAAGCAAGGGAGGGTAGTAAACAGAGGAGGCTGGAGAAGTGATGGGGAGCCTCCCTCTGGGCTATATTAAGGCCATTTAATATCAGTGACAAAGACTGTACAACATGGTCAATGCTTATGGTCAAATGTTAAATGAAAAGGACTAAAAGATCACACCACAGTATGGCATCAATTGTGTAAATAACTCTAAACTACTACAAAAATTATGAAAAGGAGTTATATCCAAAAGTTAACAATCACAGGGTACAGGGATTTTGTATTTTCCAAACTTTCTGCAGCAGTTGGGTACTAATTTTGTGATCCAAATAAAAAAATGATTTATTAAAGCAAGCAACAGTTCCATCCTTAAATAATTTTCTCCCATCTCTTATCTTCCCACAAATGTGTTTCCTTCTTTGAAATAAGAATCACAGCTGCCAACAGAGGTTTCTCAATCCATTTGAAAGAGATTATGAGGGCCCAATTCTTCAAGCAGGCGTTTTAAAGAATTTGTGTGGCTTAAGGAAAATACTGGAAGTGTGGAAAATGGCTTTTTCTGGGACTTTGTACCAAGAAGGAGCAGTTCTGACCACTGCTTTCTGAGGTGCTCCTACATGCCAGTTACTCAGCACTGATTATCACAAGAACATCATTTTATTGCCTCCATTTTACAGATTATTCTAATTTGACAGATGATGAAACAGATTCAGAAAGGTTACATGGCTAGTAAAAAAAAATAAAGTCCTACCACTTTAAAAATTAGAAGGTGGTGATGATGGCGATCGCAGTGTGATGGTAGAGATGATGGCGGAGATGACGGTGATGATGGAGATTGTGGTGATAATGGTGGAGATGATGATGGTGAGATGGTGGTGATGATGTTATGATGACAGTAGAGGTGATGACAGTGGAGATGGTGGTGATAATGGTGGTGATAACCATTACCACTCATTGACCTGATTTTATTCAGTGTGTCATCTTTGTTCAGCTGATGGATTTTGGAGTCAGAAAGCCTGTGTTCCAGGCATAACATACACAAAAAAACTCAATACATGCGAGGTGTAATTACTTACTATTATTATTATTATACAAAGCAATATTAGTCCCATCTTATAGATGAAGAACTGATTCAGAGAAGTCACCAGAGATCAAACGAAGCAGAAGAACAATTTCCCAAAAAGCAATCCTTCCAACATCATCTTTAGGAAACTGGTCAAATCCTTGTGACTGTGTTAAGTGAGAATCCATTTGTCGGAGGAGATCACTAAGAGGATGTGGCTGCCAGGTGACCTTTGAGCTGGCCTTGGGCAACCAGACGCTCCTCACCCCCTCCCCTCCTGTCCTTGGAACATATGTTCAGCCCTCAACCCCAACAGTGGGAGCTGTTCCAAGGCCACAGCCTCGAGAGAGCAAGGTGATGCTGAGACCATCCCTAAGGTCTACGTGACTGAGCCCAGTTACAACGTCTAAGAGACTTTGACACTCCGGCTGGTGGGGCGAGGAGAGCTACTCCTCTTGCAGCTGCCCAGGACAAGCCTGTCGTAAGTCCCCTTGTTTACGCATCCTACTGGCACTCCCACCAATCTGGAGTGGCCTGCCTCTTTCTTCAGTCTCTTCCTACCCTCCACATATGGGGGCCTTTTTGAACCAACACCATTACCACTTGTCACAAATAGAAAGCAGAAATAAATACGTGCACACAAAAATACCACTAGATTCTAATTAGACATAGTTACCTGGGAGCCTGGCTTTCTCTTTGTTTAAAAAAGTGGGGGGTAGATCAGCAAGTATTGGAGAGAGGAGTTCAAGGTGTTAGCCCTTCTTCCTGTGATGGGGCTGGCAGTGCAGGGAACAGGAGATCACTGTCTAGGTGAGAGATTCCTGTCCCTCTGCTGCCCCAGCACCTCCACTGCCACCCCTGCTTTCCTCTTACAGAAAGCTTCCGAGATCATTCAGATACGGAACAGACTCTGTGAGGTCCAGTCTCCTGTCCAGGTGGTACGGGGCAGGAAGGGCAGAGCAGGGCCCCCGCCCACCACAGGCTGACGTCAGCCAGGGCCGTAGGGCCTGCTGTTCTGCGAACACAGGGGCTGTGTGATCACCGCTCTAGCCTGACAGAGCTGGCACCAGGACACATTAAATAAATATTTGTAAAGTGATTGTAAAGGAAGGAGTCAACAAAGAAATTAATGTTTCTAGCTGATGGTCAGCCCTGCCCAATGTGTCTAGTCTCCAAGATTTGGGGGAGAGAATCACTGTGTTTCCCTGTCCCCCAGGAACCAGCCGTTTGAACCTTAGAGAAAGCCTTCTCTAACAGGAAAGATGAAATACAGGACAAAACAAAAGTGAGAGAGACAGAGAGAGGGAGAGGCAGAGAGACAAAGATGGAAACAGACACAGGACCAAAAAAAAATGTGGAGGGGAAGGTTTTGGACTCCGCCCCAGCCCAGCCCACAGGGACCACGCCCTCCATCAGGGTGCTTTCTAGTCATCCTCCAGGTGAGGAGGGCGAGCCCAGAACGATCCCAGAGCTGAAAATGCAGAGACCATTTCCAGTATGTGTGCTTGGCTGCAGCTGTTCTGCTGGTCGCTAGTGGAAACAGGACCTCGTAGCAGGTGGGCCGGTGGCTCAGCTGTGCTTTCACACCCACTTCCCAGGGCTCCTCTGCACGCATCACACAGGACACGCGACACTGACCCACAGGAAACACACCCTGGTGCCCCACCGCTCACCCTCCTCTGTCTCGTCCATCCAAGAAAAAGAATCAGAATGCAAATGCCCAACAACGTTACAAAGGTGACCTTAACATCGTAACATCAGCCAGCAGCACATACTGTACACCTACTCTGGACCAGGCAATGAGCTTAGCACTGGACACCCGCTGCCTCATTTCATCTGCACTCCGCCCCCGCCACCCCACAGCCCTGTAAGGTCAATGTTAATATTACCCCTTGACGTATGAGAACACAGAGCCGCAGAGAAGATGACCTTCCGAGGTCATGCAGCTGGTAAGCGGCAGAGGTGGGATGTGAACTCATGCCTCCTGACTCCAGCACTCAATATACTAACCATGGGACCGTGCAGAGGGGCCATATTACTCTAAAGTCAAGAGTCAAAGATGAAAAATCAAGGACCCTTAAAATTACCCTTGAGAATCTCTTAAACCACTCATTAACATACAGTATTGCAGCGTATTTCCACAAGTCCACCATAGCAAGCTTCCCCTACAGGGGGACACCAGAGGAACACCAAAGAAGTGGGTGGCTTGCCTTCAGGGTCGTTTCATGGCATGTTCACCAGTATCACTGGGAAAAAATGAATTCTGTATTTTATCAATTTGATCATTGATTGATGAAACAAGTTTCTTAACTACAGGACTTGTCAGAGCCTTTAAGGTGTATCTTATGAATTTCCAAGCAATGGACAGAGTATCTTGATATAATGTCCCACGAGGCACTAATTTAGGAAATGCTGGCTTAGCTGAAAGAGCGCTCAATTAACCAGGTGACCCTGGGCAAACTGCTTGACCTGAGTCACTTGCCCAAAATCACTTTGTTGCTAAGAGGCAGGCTAGGATCTGAATAGAACGAACAAAGAAGTGAGAGAAAGAAAAAAGAAAAAAAAGGAAGGAGTAAAGGAATGTGACAGAACTGCAGTTTCTGAGCAGCTCAAAGCTACCTGCAAAGGCAGGTTTTTCCCTTTATGCTCAACACAAAAAAAGAAAAAAAGACAGAGGGAAAAAACAACATGACTGTTTCTCCCCCATGCACCATGAGTTCAGTTGCTATCAATTACTTGGCCTCCTGCATTTATTAATAACCAAGTTATTTCTCCTTCCAACCATAGCCAGGCTGTTGCTGAATTACCGTGGTGTGACTTATTTATACCGCGGGTGCATCTGGTGCACATTTCCTTACACAGAGCTTTACAGTCCGGAGGCCTCTGAAGGAGGCCATCTGCAGCGAAGGGAGAAGTTTAAAAGGCTGTAGGTGCTACCAGAAAAGGCAGCACTCCGCATACAGAATGTCCAGGTTCGAATCCCACCTCCACTGCCAAAAGCCGTGTGGTGTTTGGGAAGTCCTGTCACTTCTTTGAGCTTCAGTGTCCTCCCCTGTAAAATGGGGATCTACCTCCACGGAGTTCTCACGGAGCCTCAGTGAGATTATATGTGTGTATCGCTTAGCACGGGACCTGCCTGG